TTAATCTGAAAGGGTTTTTCATTCCTGGCCCCACCCCAAACTGATGGGTTCTGCCTTTGGTTCCAGCCTTAGATCAGGAGAGGATCTGCCCCAAACCCAGGCCCCGGTCACACGGGCTGGATATCGCGGAGGGGAGGCATGGCTGTTTGCCCCGGAGTGAACTACCGCGCGGCCGCCGGATCAAACGTCCAGCCAACGTCCCATGGTTCGAGGGGAGGTATCGATCATACGTCAGTCCTGTGGCGCGGCAAAGAAGTGGCGCGGCGGGGGTTGTTTGTTTGTTTTTTAACCGAAGTGTGTGCATGCGCTGTTGGGTGCTTGTGCGCATCCGTGGAGACTTGGGGAAAAAAACCTTTTCGCGACGGGACATGGGCGGGCGCCGGATGCCATGAGCTACCACCGGAAACGTGATCAGACGCCCGCCCTTGCCCCGCGGTTTCCGGAAACTAGTACCTCGCATCTTCGGCGGGAAGCCTCGGGTTCGCCACGGGAGCTCTACGCTTCCCAGATGTTGCGGTTTGATCGCGTCCGGACAATCCGCCTATCTTCCATCTCTGTAGCGTGGCTAATGCTCCGTGTGACCGCAGCCCCAGAATTTTTGATCCCAAGCTTGGCAATATGGATTTTGTGGTTTGTTTTGTTTTGCTGTCAAGTCACAGCTGACTTTCAGCGACCCAGAAGGGTTTTCAAGGCAAGAGAGATCAGAGGTGGCTGGCCCTTGCCTGGCTCCGTGTCACAACCCTGCTAATTCCTTGGTGGTCTCCCATCCAAATGCTAACCATGGCCAACCTTGCTTAGCACCCGAGATCTGATAAGACCAGGCTTCCCTGGGCTATACGAAATACACTGTCATTTCTTGTTCTACGGAAACTTGCATCCCTAATGCAGACATTTCCCCCAGTTTCAAAACACGGTGCGTACAAATTGTGTTGCAAGACTGATTTCCCTGAAGGAGGCGGTGCCTGTGTCTTCAAAAATAAGTACAGGGGTCAAGTATATTCCAAGACTGAAGATCACATTCCAGAGAGGGTCATTCAAGAGTCCTCCCACTACCAAATCTTCATCTCCCGTCTCTGAAGGATCTTTTTCAGCTATCGTAAATCTCAAGCATCTCATAGGACCCAACTGGATTATTTACTTTAGCAAATGCTTCTGTTCCTGTAATATATCCAGTCAGAACGCGTGGCCGGCTAGGGCTCCATGCGGTCAAGCACAAACCTCGAGCTTCGCTCTTAGAGACAATAGACTATGAGGATCCTAGCCCACACCAATCAGGGGGCTAGGTCCCAGCCGTGAGCCTATGGAACTCTCGGCCCCTGTAAATAACCTATTGGGAAGTGGGTGTGTGTGTTATGGGTGGCGGTTTCAAGGGGAATATAAGCCGGCCTGCGAGCCGGCAAAAGCTGTCTTGTTCTGGATAGAATAAAGTACGCTTTGCTGAAATCACTCTCCGTTTGCGTACTTTTCAATTCCTAAAGATTCTTCCACTGGCTAAGCTGATCTCAATAAAGTCACTCTGATGAAAAAGCTGACGTTAACGAACAGGCCATTTGGCTCCTCAAGAGAAGCTCACCCATTGCATCTGTATTGGGATTCAGCTCTGGCAGGGCTTTCTCCTTCCTTTTGGGGGTAGGTGTAAAACTGGAATTTACTCCTGGGTGCTTTTCTCCTCCAGTTTGGTATAGTGGTGAGGAGTACAGACTCTAATCTGGGAGAACCGGGTTTGATTCCCCACGCTTCCACATTCAACTGCTGGTGTGACCTTGGGTCAGTCACAAGTTCTCTCAGAGCTGTTCTCTCAAGGGCAGTACTCGCGAGAGCTCTCTCAGTCCCACCTACCGCACAGGGTATCTGTTGTGGGGAGGGGAAGGGCAAGCAAATGTTAAGCCACTCTGAGACTCCTTTGGGTAGTGAAGGGCGGGGTATAAATCCAATCTCTCCTCCTCCTTCTTCTCCTCCTCCTCCTCTACGGAGATACCACAGCTGTGTCTGTCAGTTCATAGATTAATTTTTAACAAGGGAAGGACTGAACATTCGTTCTGGTCCTCCTCTCCATTGTAAGTACCAAAAGAGATGCTCACTTCCATCATCCCCCTTTGAGCTTAGACACATGCAAATAGGTGTGAGCAGCTGAGGACCCTACGGGAAGAGTTCTACCAAAGTCTGATAGAACTCTTCCTTTAAGTTTCTCAGCTGCTCACACCTATTTGCATATCTACCCTCAGACTTGGAAGTGAACGTCTCAGCAAAATAATGAAGGGGGCAGTTCTTAGGGTTAGGGGGTGATACTGAAACTACTAGATTTTGGACTTATATTTACACTACAGTAATAGGATTATTTTTACTTGAGGAAGAGGGAAGGATAACAATTGCTAGTGCGGCGGAGTGGTTAGAGCCTTCTTTCAGATAGTTCCATGTGGCATACATGGTTATCTTTAGCCTCACAACAACCCTGTAAGGTAGGGTAGTCTGAGTGAAGGTGAGTATCCCAATTACCCAATGAACGTTGTAGCTGAATCCAGATCTGAAGCTGGATCTTCCAGGTCCTAGCCTGACACTCGGTTCCCAATCTACTCGGGTAGAAGTCCACATTCTGCCATGAAGCTCGCTGGGTGACCTTGGGCCAGTCACTCTCTCAGCCTAACCTACCTTGGAGGGTTGTTCTAAGGATTTTAAATATGTGTGTATATTTAGGAGGGGAGATATAGGGTTGCCAACCTCTAGGTGGTGGCTGGAGATCTGGAATCCCGCTAACAGGGATCAGTTTCCATGGAGAACATAACCGCTTCAGAAGGTGGACTATATGCAGGCCCAAAGCCAGAAATTTTAGTTTGGGGGGCCTTTTAAAAAGTCTGGGGGCATTGAAATTGACACGTGGCCCACGCGCATTGCCCCACTCCCCCCCAGCATTTACAGAGTCCCTTAAAATGCTTTGATGGAGCATCAGGGGTTGGCCCCACATGCGTCTGCACCCCAAGCCACGAATTCGCAGCTTGGAGTGCAGGCGTGCGTGGTCTCCACCAGCTTCTCCCCAAAAAGTTGGGGAGCCTTGGGAAGAAGTTCTGGGGCCAGGCCCCGGGAGGCCCCACCGTAGCTACGGGCCTGACTATATGGCATTCTACATGGCTGAGGTCTCTCCTCAAACCCTGACCTCCCCTGGCTCCACTCACCCCCCAAATCCCCAGGTAGTTCCTAACCCAGCACTGGAAACCCCAAGGGACAAGTAGCACACACTGTTGTGAGCTCCTTCACAGAGAGGAGGGGATGAAAAACGGTACTAGATAAAAGGGCGGTTGGGAAGGGTAATGTTCTTAGGATGCTGGACTAGAGGGACCACTGGTCTGATCCAGCAGGGCTCTTCTTATGTTCTTAGGATGCTGGGCTAGATGGACCCCTGGTCTGATCCAGCAGGGCTCTTCTTATGTTCTTAGGATGCTGGGCTAGATGGACCCCTGGTCTGATCCAGCAGGGCTCTTCTTATGTTCTTAGGATGCTGGGCTAGATGGACCCCTGGTCTGATCCAGCAGGGCTCTTCTTATGTTCTTAGGATGCTGGGCTAGATGGACCCCTGGTCTGATCCAGCAGGGCTCTTCTTATGTTCTTAGGATGCTGGGCTAGATGGACCCCTGGTCTGATCCAGCAGGGCTCTTCTTATGTTCTTAGGATGCTGGGCTAGATGGACCCCTGGTCTGATCCAGCAGGGCTCTTCTTATGTTCTTAGGATGCTGGGCTAGATGGACCCCTGGTCTGATCCAGCAGGGCTCTTCTTATGTTCTTAGGATGCTGGGCTAGATGGACCCCTGGTCTGATCCAGCAGGGCTCTTCTTATGTTCTTAGGATGCTGGGCTAGATGGACCCCTGGTCTGATCCAGCAGGGCTCTTCTTATGTTCTTAGGATGCTGGGCTAGATGGACCCCTGGTCTGATCCAGCAGGGCTCTTCTTATGTTCTTAGGATGCTGGGCTAGATGGACCCCTGGTCTGATCCAGCAGGGCTCTTCTTATGTTCTTAGGATGCTGGGCTAGATGGACCCCTGGTCTGATCCAGCAGGGCTCTTCTTATGTTCTTAGGATGCTGGGCTAGATGGACCCCTGGTCTGATCCAGCAGGGCTCTTCTTATGTTCTTAGGATGCTGGGCTAGATGGACCCCTGGTCTGATCCAGCAGGGCTCTTCTTATGTTCTTAGGATGCTGGGCTAGATGGACCCCTGGTCTGATCCAGCAGGGCTCTTCTGATGTTCTTAGGATGCTGGACTGGAAGGACCACTGGTCTGATCCAGCTGGGCTCTTCTCATGTTCTTATGCCGGGCCCCACTTATGTGCTGGGAACTAAATTGCTCTACGTTGTGAAAGGAGAATCATATAAAATTACACCATTCATATGGAGGAACAATGCAATATTTGAACAATTATGAGTTTTTCCCCGGGGGTCTCTCTCTCTCTCTCTTTCTCTCCCGCTCTCTCATCCGGTCTCCAAGCCACAGGCACACTGAGAAAGGGCTTATGAAGCTTTATAATTTGCTGCTGCAGTGTCTTCATTTTCCCTGAGTTGTTGACATCTTTTTGACATCTAAAATTACTATTTCCAGAAGAAGGGGGGAGTGGGTGTTCTTCAGGGGAGCCAGTTGGGTGTCACTCGCCCCGGGTTTTGAAATGCTTACTGCGCACAGTTCCTGAACGGACTGCCTCTGTACTCGCACGCCATCACACAGAAATAAAAAAAGACAAAACTTTTTTTTCTCCCCTCACGTAGCTCTCCAAGAGACTGGTTCGGCCGGTTTGCACAAACATCTGAAGTATGCGCCTCTTTCCTGTCCGATGCCCTGCCAACAGGCATGTGGGGCATTGCTGGGTTGTTACTTAACCACTCATTATGGGATTTGGCGTGCGATTACGAGCAGGTGGATCCTTTCCAAAAAGAAATAAGAAAGAAGGACGGGCGCTCATTTATCTCGAGATGGCCCCCAACTGCAGAAGCGGGCCCATCGCGAGGAAGATAAACTCCCGAGAAAAGTTATTTCCTGGGGTCGGGAGGGTAAGTTGGCTTCGCTTCTGCGCTGGTTATGTCATAGAGATTGGGGTGGGGTGGGGGAGGTTTCTGCAGTTCTGGAGAGAGGAAGCATTTTTGTTCCTCGTATAATATTCGTACTGGGGTTGTGTGTGCCTCCTCACAGATCCGATCGTTGGCAGGTTGGGACGGAGAAAATGGAGCAGAGCTAGATTTATCCACAAACGAAGGAAGCTCCAGTTTAGGGACTTAAATCACGACAGGCCTTTAAAGACAAATTTTTCAAAAAAACTATTTCTCAATGTTAGAAAAATACATTTGTTTGCTAATGTTTGCGGGGGGGGGGGGAGTTTAGCATAGTTTAAAATTAAGTTTGGCGTAGGGTTGGAAC